AGCTGGCCATAGAGGTTGGCTAAGCAAGATATAGGTTGGAGAATGCAGCTGAAGGTAGTTTCAGTGGAAGTCAGGAGAGCAAAGTTCAAGGCAAGCAGAGGCATGGAGAATATTGCTCCACTGGCTCAGAGAATGCCTTATGCAGAGAAAGCCCAATACCCAGAAAAGGTCCATGTAAGAGAAATTGCTCTCAGAACTGAAGCCAGATTAGCTATTTCACCTTTGATCCTAAGAGTGGGCCCCTGGACAATTATGCTGACTACCCATTGATGAAAACATCTGATTAGTATAAGGGAACACATCAAGTCAGTTCTTGTGTTTTCTGAGAACTACCCACATCACCCCATGCTTGGAACCCTCTGTCATAGATGAAAGAACCAAGCCTTCCAACCTGACCTGGAGCTGTTCTGTGGTGTTATGTCCTCAGGCATTCAAACCAGTGGATGGAATAAGAAATCTGGTTTTCCTCTTCCTCAAGTCATTTATTTACTCTATTATCCTTCTTTCCCCAACCTAAAAACAGAGTGGACATAGGGCCCTGACTGAGCAGTCTAAAAGCTATGCTTCCTAAAACCACTAGGCTCTTTCAATGGCCTTTTTCATTGATTTCTCAGGTCAGCACCTCAGTGGCCTTTGGTGCTGCTGCTCATGCTCTCCTTTATTAGAGGCCAGTCACTCTAATCCTGCTCTTCACGCTCTGCTTCCTTGAGTCTCCTGACACTCTGAGTATCTTGTCTATCTACTGTCTCCTACATAGCTTTTATCAAGGGCATCCTTTATCTTTGATTCCTTCTTATGGCCCTCCATGCTCATGCATGCACATGCTCAATTTAATTTAATATTATTGATCACTTGCTAGATGTCTAGCACTGTTATAAACAAGATATGGTTCTTGTACACTCTTGTGGGAGAACGGGTATATACATTGCCAAATAAAACACAATGCGAGATATGTAACACAGATATGTATAAAATATATCTTAGCAAATCAAATGAGGAAATGATTAATTCTCTCTTAAGGAGATTATAAAAGGCATTGCAAAAGAAAAAAAATTATTAATGCCTTGAAGAATGAATAGAGATTCACAGAACAGAAAAGGTGGAGGAAGAACAATGAAGTTAGAGAGATGAGGATGGGAAAAGCAAGGAAAAGCAGGGTTGGAAAGTCCTTGTGACTCAAGAGATAGTAGATGTGAGAATGAGGATGGAAGGGTGGAGGTGGGAGTGATAGGAGATGACTCTGGAGAGTCAGGACACACTAGCTTCGGTCACCATTTAAATTCAGTCACCATTTAAATCCACATTTCCAGGTCTCATGAAAATGGCTCATCACAGTGCCTGGCACATTCGTTCTCTAAAAATAAATTTTGTTCACTTTACTAGGTGCCGGGAATACAAAGAGAAATAAGCTTCCCCCTCAAGACCTGAGAGTATAGTAGAGAGATAAAAATTTCAGGTATGCAATACTGGCTACTCTATACAGTGATGGCAGCATGTATATGACACGAAATAGAGAGTGCCTGGCTCTGTGTAGAAGGATTAACAGAGGATGATTCAGAGAAAAATGCTATCTGAGCTGAGACTTAAGAAATCAGTGGGCATTGAGTAGTGTGGTGGGCAGAATAATGGCTTTCCAAAGATGTCCATCTCCTAACCCTGGGAGTATGTTGCCTTATGTGGCAACAGGAACTCTGCAGATGTGATTACATTGAGGAAAGAGGGAAAGATTATAAAGATGAAAGATCATTTCATCCAGGCGGGCCTGATGTAATCACACAGATCCTTATAAGAAAGGGAGACAGGAGTGTCAGAGCCAGAGGAGATGCAACAGTGGAAGCAGAGGTGAGAATGATGTGGCCATGGGCCAAAAATAGGGGTAGCCTCTAGAAACTGGAACAGGCAAAGAACAGATTCTCTCCTAGAGCCTCCTAAAGGTATGCAGCTCTGCCCACAACTTGTTCGTAGCCCCCAAAAGACTCATTGCAGACTTCTGATTTCCAAAAAGGTAAGAGGATAAGTTCATGTCATTTTTAAGCCACTAAGTGTGTGGTAAATTAAATTGTTGCAGCAGCAATAGGAAATGAATACAGGTGCAGCGGTAGGCAGGGCATGGGCATGGGGATGGAGGGCAGTCCAGGCAAAAGGAATAGCATAAGCACAGAAGCACAAACTAGCATGCACACCCTCGGGGCAGGGGTTACAGGTAGCTTCACATTGCTGAGGTTCAAGGATCACCAGGTAAGGAGCAGAAGAAAAGGCTGGAGAGGGTGAGGCAAGTACCGGATGATACATGGCCTTGAAAGGGACTGTGCTACTACAGGATTTGGGTGTTGCTGAAGCTTAGAAGGTGAATTGGAAGCCACTTAATGGTTTTAAACAACAGAGTAAAAATACCAGATTTTCAATTTTGAAAGAAAAGCTAACAGGGAAAAGCCTGTTGGGGGACTTTTTAGGAAGCTATTGGAAAAGTGCTGGCATAGGAGCTACAGCCTGAACTAAAATAAAGTCTCGTGAGTAGGAGGAGAAGTCTTAAGACTCAAAGAGTGACAGAATACTGGGTGCAAAGACAGCAGGAAGAGTCAAGGATGACCCCAGATTTCTAAATTGGACCCTAATGAATAGACACACTGCCTATGAAGGTGGGAAAAACTAGAAATTTCTCTCACTATTTCTTAGATCTTCTTTATTTTAGTGTTCACTAGGCTGACTAGTCCCATCAACCTACAGTTAGAATGTAAGTTCTCCTGCTTTTTTTCTAATGCTTGCCTTTTCCCCACTCAATTTATTCTCTATATTGTAGTTAGAAAAACTAATTAAATATTCAACAGATATTTATTTAGTGCCTACCATGTACCAAATACTACTACAGACCTGCGGGATATTGTAATGAACAAAACAATTTAAAAAATAAACTATCTTGCATTTAATCTAGAAAGTCTTTTCCGAAGGTAATTTTGCAAATTTACAACACCAATTTACAGCTCTACAATCACTTCCCATTTCCTTTCACTTTATGTCTAATTTTTTTAGTATGTGCTCAATGTCTCTGTCAACTACCTTGTCCCGAGGTGACTATAAGAAGTTTAACTTACAAATGAGTTGTGATCTAAGAGCAGTGCTCCTCAAACCTTCCGTGGGTTTGTGGTTTAGTTTGTTTGTTTGTTTGTTTGTTTGTTTGTTTGTTTGTTTGTTTTTTAATTTCCAACCTGCTATGGTCTGACACCTGCTCCTCTTGCACATGACTAGGGCCCAGGTTATGCTCCCTGTGAGCCCTGTGTGAATTTTACAATACCCAAATGCACCCATACCTTGCTCAACAATGAGTCCACTGATGAAGTTAGTGCCTGGTGTCATGGCATTCTTAATTTGCTCTGACAATTTTTAAGTGTTTCCTCTTCATTTCTGTACTCTTCATTTCAACACTGTCCACAGACCACACTTTGAATGCCCATACTTACTAAGTCCCTTACTAAAACTGTTTTGAGGAATCTGAAACAAATTATATGGTGATCACATTTGTTTTTTGCTAGCCCACTGAAGCTTATGTTTGTCATGCTATCTTATCGTTTTCCTATAAAAAGACCCTAGTTTTGTGGAGACAGGATGATAAAAGTTCTAGAACTGCTGTTTGGCACGTTACCTTTTTAAAGAGCTTATTTTTCCCTTCCCTTTTATGTTTTTCTCTTCTTTAGTCAGCTACCTCCTTAACCCAATCCCAACTCATACAAATGAAGAATAAAATTACTGTGAAAGCCCCTCAATTCTTTATCAAGTTCTTGCCAGAGTAGTCCAACCACCTCAATTCCACTAGCCCTAAATAGATGAAGCCATTTTAGTGTAAATCATAATCTAATTCAACCTCAAGCTTATGAACTGGGTGGGACTAGGGAATAGGAGCCTTTTGTCTCTGATTCACTGGCTCAACCCTGGGGCTGGCTTATGCTGGACTTCCTCCAGCCCCCAATGAGCACGTCTGCAGCCTTATATTATAGCTCTTCCAGGACCTTTTTTTCAGTCATCATCATCCTCATCCTTTCTCTGGTTTGAACACCACTAACTCTTTCTTCCCTGTGGGATAAACTCTCTTTTTCTGTGGCTTCCATGACTCCATGCTGGATCTGTTCCTACTTCTTCTTTGTCTACTCCAATTTAGTCTTGGCTGTGTTACTCTCTCTCTTCCATTTCCAAGGGCCTTGTCCAAGAGCTTCTTCTCTCACTCCCATGAGCTCCAGGTGCTCTCATTCTCTCCTAGGAACTCCGTTATCAAGTAGGTATACTCACAATCTACACTTTTTCCTGGGTATGAGACACATAATTCCAACTGCTTTCTCAATACTTTCATGTGTGTATCTCATGAGCATCAAAATTCAATTTAATAATATTTTTCAACAATCTCTTCTTCCTGCATTCCATATCAGGACACTGCCATTCATTTATCCAAGCATGGATAAATGCTTGGAATCATTCTTTTTATATATTTTTTTAATTCTCATCTGAGGATATGTTTATTGATTTTAGAGAGAGAGAGGAAGGGAGAGAGAGAGATCAATGTGAGAAATACTGACCAGTTGCCTCCTGTTCATGCCCTGACTGAGGACTGAACCTCCAACCTGGGTATGTGCCCCAACTGGGAGTTGAATCCTCATCCTTTTAGGGTATGGGATGTTGCTCCAAGTAACTGAGCCACCTGGCCAGGTCTGGAATCACTCTTTACTCCTCTCTTTCCCTCATTCCTCATCTCTAACCAGTTACCACTCATCATTCCACCACTGTTGTATTTCTCCAGTCATTCTCATTTTCTCCATCTCCACTGCCCTGCTGCTGGCTCCCATCACTTCTCACCAGGACCATTCTCAGTTCTCTGAACCCTCAGATCAGCACTGTCACACCAGACTCAGAACTGCCAGTCCCAACCCTCTCTAGAGTAGCCTCTGCTCATTTGCTGCATTGTCCTATCTCTCAACAGGCACATCCCATTATTCATACTCTTGAATACTGACCTTCACAACTGTTACTAGTTTCTTGTAATATAGTCAAAACTCCTTTCTTGTCCTGGACAGTGAGGCTCAGTTGGTTGGCGTGTTGTCCCATAGCCGAAGGGTTGTGGGTTCAGTTCCTGGTCAGGGCACATACCTAGGTTGTAGGTTCAATCCTCAGTCCAGGCACATATGAGAGGCAGCCAATTGATGTTTCTCACGTTGTTGTTTCTCTCTCCCCCTTCCTCTCTCTCTAAAAGCAATGAAAAAAGTGTCCTCAGGTGAGGATAAAAACAAAAACAAAAAAACTCCTTTCTTAGCATGAATTACCAGAAATCTCACACACGGGCCTTGACTGTCTTTTGTAGATACTTCCAGTTTAACAACATATACCACAGTCCACCTCTCAGATTTCCTTAACATTTCTCAAGCATGCCACCATTTCTCGGGCCTCTGCACCTGCGTGCATTCTATTCTTGACACCAGATATGAACCAACACTTGCCCTCTGCCTTGATGGGCTGCTGATCATTTAAGGTGTGGCCCACATACTTTATCTCTTGGGACAGCTCCTGCAAGTACAGGTCAGGGCTCCTTCCACTGCATTGCCACAGCTCTTTGTAAGGGCCTCTCTGGGCAGTTCATTCCATGGAGTTTTTTATGAACCAGCTACTTAGCTGTGTTCTAGGGATACAAACAAGATGTTCCTGCCATCAAGGAGCCTACCTTCAATTAGCAGAGAAATACATATGTGTAAACAGCAAATACATTTATGTATTTTTTAAATCTGTGTTACAAAGCACAATAGGTGCTACCGGAGAAGTGTAAGCAGGACACAGTGGACAGCAAACAAGAGAGGGAGTGGTTAATTCCACTTGTAAGAATGGAGATTAGAGGAGAGGAACTTAAGGAAAGGGATTATAAGGAAATAACCCTTTGGCAGGTGAGGAGAAGAGGGCACTCAGGTAGGGGACTGTATGAGCCAAGTCCTAGCAGAATAGAACAGCATGTCACATTTAGGGAAAAGCAAATGGTTTTCCATGGCTGATCTTCAACATCGACATCAAGAGGTCAAGAAAACAAGAAAGGAAGATTTACCTGACAAGAATGAGAAGCCACTGCAGACTCTTAAGCAGGAACAAACAAAATGCTCTGATTTCTACTTTTAGGGGGATCCTTCTAACAACAGTGTGCAGAATTCAATATAATGCTTTGGAGAGGGTGTCTATATATCTATCCTCCCTATTAGATTTTGAGATCCTTGATGTCAAGTATTATATCTCATTTTTACCTTCTCAGTGCCTAACACACTTAATCACCAAAAATTGAGAGAGAAGCTACATGATATTGGTGATGGAACATGGACCTGACAGTCAGGAGCTGAGCTCTAGGCCAGCTTCTGCCCCAGCTCGGTGAGACATCAACAAGCCACTCCGTGCTTCAGCTTCTTCATCTGTAAAGTGGCAGCTTAGTTGAGATCATCTGTCAATTCTCTTTTGCTCTAACATTCTGTAATCTGATAAAGGATGTTCCTGTTTTGAAAGTTTGCAGTCAATATCTGGTATTACAAATAACCAATCTGTCTCTGGATTATACAGGTGAATGTCAAAAGCTTACTGCACCATGAAGCACGAGTTGACCCAAAGGTTATGTAAACCATTCCCTGAAAGTGAGCAATGATTCTGGTTAAATTACTCACGCGGTAGAAGGACCACTTCTTTCTGCTCAAGGGGTACAGAATTGTCTCCTCAAATGTTTATTCCTTTTTTGAGAAAAATAAACAGAACCCAGATCATTATTATTATAAGCCTTTAAGTGATATGACAAATACATTTTGAAAACATTAGAAGCTTGAGAGAAACCTGAGTTCTATCCCCCTTAAATTAGTCCTCTTTATTAGCTCAGCAGAATACACAGAACTCCATCAACTTCCCCATGTCCTTTTTATAATTCGTATACCTCTTTGACACAGTAAAATATGCTCTCACATTTCTGCTTCATCAGTGGAGCACTGGCCTGGTTACCAGAATTTAAAATTCAGTATTTCTAGGAACAGAGCCAATTTGTACTAAAAAAAATAAAAATAAAAAAGCGAAGTTTTCTCTTAGCTTCTATTCTATTTAACCTTTATCATACCAAGACTATAGCTTTCAACTAACTCTCTCGTAAAACATTTTTGCTGATATGATTTTACTATCTTTTATCCAGAGAGTTTTCTTTTTAAATTTTTATTATAATAAATAACTTATGAACATAGTTTTAGAAATCTAATAGTAATTCTCTTTTTTCCTAAGTTATATCATAATTTTTAATAAAATAACATTCGGAGTTTACATAATTATGACTATGTGAATTTTTTCTGAACTAAGTCAAATAGCATAAATATGCTCTTATTCAAAGTTTTAAAATATTTTTGGAGTTATTAATTGACTCTTTAGTTTTTTCTTAATCTATGCAATCATTAATTCTAAATACTTGAGCAGCTCTGTAATATGCCTCTCAGTTCTATTTTCCACATAATTAAGTACATTAGTTTTGGGGGTTTTTTTTACCCAGGAGATCTCCCTGGAGCCTTCCCTTCCCATATTCCAACCTGTATTGGTTGCTTTCTAGACCTCCTACTTTTTTAATTAAAAAAAAAACATTAAATTAAATTATTTTTTTAAATTAAAAGCTTCCTCCATATATTATTCTACCATTACCTTTTTCTACTATTGGAATATAATTCTTTAAATCTAATGTATTAGAGACTTTGTTTTTAACTTTAATATCATATTAGACTTTTCCTAAGAAATAACATTTATTATCTAGTATTTAGCTCAAATAGATAAATTATCTAATTTCTTAATATACTATCTATTCTCACTTTGACTGTATTCTCACACTAAACAATGTCTGTGGGTTCATTTTTACTGTAAGACATAGCTGATAAATTTGTGCCAGGGCAGAACTTCAAAGAGTGGTTTCTAAACCAGCTGCAGTAACTTGGAAATGATTCAACTGAGCTGAGCTGAGCCTTCTTTAAAACAAGACTTTAGAAGAGGAAAAGAGGGTTGTTTAGTAGTTTGGTGGACACACAAAAAAACAGTGGTGACACCACCTTTCCCTATTCTCTCTCAAATGCTCATGCTCTAGGTGGGTGGGTGAAGCCTGTGACCCTGGTATCCCCTTGGGCTTTGGCTTAGCTGAGTGTGTACTCCGTTTTCAGTTGCTTGGCTTGTTCTTAGAGAATGAGCTAACAGGGTAGATTTGGGTCTCACAATGTCGTGTAAACAAACAAGATGTATGGTGTAGCAGTTTCACCTCCAGAGAGCAGCTTGGCCTTCTGACAATGCTCCTATACTGGAGAAGAGGCAGGACTGTCCCAGACTGGTCCATCTCCCTGAGGCTGTTATTCTTAAGGGGCTTATTCTCATTGGCTTATTTAACCCTAAACCCACAAATAGGATCTCATTTTCATTTGTTGAATTGCATCTGAAATATGTTTAGGGGTATAAGATTAATAGTCATTAGGAATAAAAAAAAAAAAAAAACACTGGCCAGACCACTATGACACAATACAAAGTTCTAAAAGTCACAGCAAATTTTGAACCAAAATACACCATTCGAAACTGAAGCAGGATATGTTAGCATATTTTTTATCTCGTGAAGAAAGTCAAAATAATGTTCTAGAGGGAAATTCCCAATAAAAATGATGTACTTCCTTTTTCTTTATCTCCAAAGTGAGATGATTATAGAAAAAAATTAAATATCCTATGCAAGAAATAATTATGGGAAGGAGAAATGTTGTCACTCCAGATAAGTTTCTCTCCCCCATCCTAGACCCAGCAGAACCTGGAGGAAATACATGATAAGAGTTACTGAAATACTAAAATATCACAAATTAGTACATAGTAAAGTCTAAATGCTTTCCTATCCACTTCTTTTTGCTGATTTTTCTCTAAAGGTATCAAATATGAAAAAGCTAGCCTTACATCAAACCTGGGAGAAATGAGAGAGAACTGTATCCTAATGTCAGAAAACAGCAGATGAGAAAAATGAAAAGGATTTAGGAGGGATCCAAGATGGTTGCCGATCATGTGGAAGTTACACTTATCTCCTCCCCAAACCAAATTCGAATTACAAATAAGTTACAGACCAATCGTCCTTAACAGGCAACTTCTGTTCATCATCCATGAACAGAAATCTTATAACCAATGATTTATAGAAGAAGCCATGCCAAGATTTGTAATAAGGAGATGTGACGAGGAGATGTGACAAGGGTTCTCCCTGCACCCACATGTTGTGGTTGAGAATTGCAGAGATATCTTGGCTGCAAAGGTGCCCCCTGAAGATCAAGTGAAGGGTCTCAGCCTCATGCTGGGTTCCCCAGCCCACAGCACCAGTGCTAGGAAGAGGAGCCCAAGTAACATCTGGTTATAAAAATCTGGGGATTTTGTTCCCCAGGGTGAGATGAGAGATTGCTAAAAGTCCAGGTGCCCTGTTAAAGGACTGGCACACAAAATCTAGTTCACAGGGACTCACCCTGGACTCTAGTGAAGGGATGGAAGCTCAGAGAGGTCTGGAGTTATACACGGAAAGATTGGGTTGTGTGGCTTTGGGGACAGAGCTAGAGGGACAGCCACCAATGTCCCTGTGCTGAGCCCCTCTCACATGCCACCCAAAGATGCCATCCATCCCGGGTCAAGCACTATGCTCCTGATGGCATCCACCTGGAGGAATGCAATAGCCCCACCCTCCTGACACCCTATCACCCCACCCTGCCAAACACACACCCTGCGGGAGAATCGGCTGCCTGCAGCCAGCCTGGGCCCATGTTGCAGGCTTTCTCGGAAGGCTCTCAGGGACGCCTAGGCAAACTCCAGAGGTATTAGAAACACACAGAAAGAGAATGAGTTGGTGGCTTTGGGGCAAGGACTACTCTTCCCTGTGTGCCCCAAGCAGTGCCGCCATTCCTGTGAGGAGCCCTCCCTCCACAGGGCCAAATCTTAATCTCTTTTAACCTGCTGAACTCTACCAGCTCCACCTACATGACTCTCTGAGACTCCACCCCACTGCAAAAACCCACAGGCCCCAGGCAGGTGATGGCTGGCCTTGGTATACCCTGAGACTTTTGCTAAGTTAGACCAAGACCTGGTGCCAAGTTTGAATCTATCAACCTGGTGAACACCACTTACCCCTACCTGGTGACTCAGAACCTGCCTCATACATTTCATGTACCACCAGAGGCTCTTTCAGTGGCTGAGCTTAACAGGCAGCTAGCAGGTGGAGCCAAATCTCCGGGTGTCTTGGGCATTTTGCTGACTTGCCCCAGGCTCAGTCTGGTGGAAACTTGCTGAAGTAGATAGCTTGGTTCCCCTGGACCCAGAACAGGCAGCCACCAACTGAGGATTGCTTTGTACCTCCTCACAGGTATCCCAGGGCCTGACACAAGCAGCATCTGGCATTGATGCACTGGAGTCCCTCTAGAGGCACGAGAACAATAAACCCAGTGGCTGGCTTCCATCCACAAGAGCGCAACCTGATTAACACCACAAGTAGCAAACCCAAAGAGAGATCTTGGCAGGCATTAGAACCTGCTGGGACAAATTCTACTTTGGGGGGTCAGCTTCTGCATAGCAGCTCACACACTGTGGTTGAGATCAATCCTCACAGTCAGCCAGCCTGAGAACCAAAATACCCACAAGTGGGCCAACAGCAATCAAACTAACCTACAACAAGAAGGCTCACATAATCCACATAAGGGACATTTGTAGATCATCTAGCTCAAATAATCAGAGAGACTACTCCACTGAGCCCCACGGGACTTTTACTACACAAGGCCACCATACCAAGACTTGGAGACGTATCAGATGTACCTCATGTACAGAAAAAAAAACTAAGAGACAACCAAAATGGGGAGACAAAGAAACATTCTCCAAATAAAAGAATTGGAAAAATGCTTGGAAAAAAGAACTAAGTAAAATGGAGGCAAGTGATACACCACATAGAGTTAAAAAAATAGTTATAAGCTAAAGGAACTTAGTGAGAACCTCAACAAAGAGATAGTAAGCATTAAAAAGTACATATAAAGTACTAAAAAGAGATACTAAGAATGATTATTATACTTAAAATGAATACACTAAAAGGAATCAAAAGCAAATTAAATGAAGCAGGGATTAAATTAGCAATTTGGAAGACAAGGTAGCAGAAAGAACCCATTCAGGGCAGCAAAAACAAAAATGAATTTAAAGAAATGAGATTTTAAGGGACCTTTGGAACAACAAAAAGAATGACAACATCTCCATTTCAGGAGTACCAGAAGAAGAAGAAGAAGAAGAGCCTATTTGAAAAAATAATGACAGAAAACTTCCCTTACCAGTGAAGGAAAAAGACACAGAAGTCCAGGAAGCACAGAGAGTCCCAATAAGATGGTCCCAACAATATGGACCCAAACAGGCCCACACCAAGACACATCATAATTAAAACATCAAAGATTACAAACAAAGAGGAAATCTTAAAAGCAGCAAAAAATTAAAAAATAAAAAAGACATTTACCTACCAGGCAGCTCCTATTAGACTGTCAGCTCATTTCTCAACAGAAATATTTCAGGTCAGAAGGGACTGGCACAAAATATTCAAAGTGATGGAAAGCAACCAAGAATAGTCTATCCAGCAAGGCTGTCATTTCAAATGGAAGGACAGATAAAGAGCTTCTGAGGAAAACACATGCACACACACACAACCTAAAGAAGATCACCACCACTAAACCAATATTGCAAG